TGAGTACTTGGGTAACATCCAAGGATGTCATTCTTTCAGTGGAACAGAGCTGCTAACTGAATTATCTGAACAAACGCCTCCTAAAGCTTCCCCATGGTATCCATGTTAGTTTCATCACATTTTAAAATAGGAATTGTGTATCTGATTAAATTACTTGTGAGAGTTAAAGTAAATGCTCTAAAAAGAAGTATGAATGAAAATGTATCCAATTCTGATACATTGTGGTACTTGACAGTATCCTTGCCATGTCTTTCCTGGAGCTGGTGGTGTTGCCCCCTTGCTAGTGAAGCATTGTTAGGGATTTAAATGTTATGCTTTCCTTTATCAAAGAGTTGAATGTTTCCAATTTCTAACTGCAAAGTGGTTCAAGAAGGCAGAATGCATCACAATTCCTGAAGATTGGTCTTTCTCCAAAGATTTTCTGATCCTACACACCTTAGTCTCCATCATCCAAAACTCTTTAGAATAATCTGTGAGAGGGGGCTTGCACTGCATAAAATCTGGCTGATCAGGTGCAGTTCAACAGGCTGATTTTGAGAGCTGTGCCTGCATTTAAGCAAGAAGATATAGATGAGAACAGCACAATGGGGATTTAACTGGATTTAAGAACTTGCCTTTCAAGCAGAAGTGGAATAGGTAAAGATGGGATAAATAAAATCTGTCATGTTCCAGCTTGTTTTTTTGTTTTTCAGAAGGGCCATGACTTCTATGAAGGGGTTCGAGCAGGTAAGTGAGTGTGCACCCCAGAAACTCAAGAATATGCAGACTCACTGTTGTTTTGCTCCTCTGGAAGTTAAGACAAGTATATGCAGCAACAACCCAGAGTACATTCCCCAGCTTGCTATAGGTTTTGCTTACTGGACTCCAGGATGGCCAAAATTCAGTATTTGTTCCCATGTGGCATCTTGTTCCCTTTGTGTAATCTCAGTCTCTCAATGTTATTTATCCAGTTGGTAAGGAAGCACCATGAAAACATTTCAGCAGTTCATTGGGAAAGTCCAAAATAGAGTTAATGCTGGCAGTAGTGAGCAGCTATCTCATTTGTGTATCCAGATTTAGTGTTACAAGCTGGTTCAGCCAGCCATAAGAGAGTTTAAGACTCAGTCAAAACCAACCATTTTATAGAAAATTCTTAGAGACTACTTTCACCCATGTGCAGAATCTCTGTATAGAGCTGTCTTCCTATTAAAAAAAACAATGTGTAAACTTAATGTTAAATAATTCAGCGTTTTAAGACAATGCTCAAGATAGGTAATGGTAAAAGAGCAGCAGCTCAGCAAGACAGCCTGTCCTTGATTCTACTGCTGATTCACCATGCAGTTTGTCAAACCCAATGTCACATCTGTTAGGAACAGTAATAATTATTTATGTACTATTCAGCACATGATGAAACAAAGCAGAGGCATTTCCTTTTCCAAAAAGCTTACAGTACAAGACATTTGGATGAATAACACTTTGAAGTTGAGGGAACCTAGCTGTTAATTCACACAGTTACATATCTAGTGTGCATAATCACCTCCTCCTCATTTTTTATACCTGCATTTTTAAAGTAGTTTAGAATCCATTTCAGTAGTGGATCTTAGTTTGAGGGTTCACTTCTAGTAACACTGTGCTTAAGATAGCCTGGGATGAGAAATGCAAAGTTTGTTTGTGCAGCCTGGAAAGTTTCTGATTTTAATTAATTAAACTTTAGCCTTCTTTAGCAGAGACTCCTTTGAAGAATTTACTGCACATATTAAGAAGTGCGTGGTTTTCATTTTCTTGGCAATGGGGACAGAGATACCTAAAAAAGATTATTACTATGATACATTCTAAATCACCAAATAAGATGCCAAATTGTAGCTATTTAGGAAGTGACAAACTTGAATTCTGAGAGTCAGATGAACACCAGACTCACGTGTAGTGCACAAGGTCATTAAAGCACCTGGGGGTGCAGTGGAGAACAAAAGCAAATCACTTGTCAGTTTGGCCAGTAAATTACACAAGGTGCTTGTAAAGAAAACAGCTGCAACAGCAGCAGTTGGGAAGCTTCTCTTACATAGGATGATGTAGGAAAAGTTTAACTATATCAGGGGAAGAAAAAAGCCATCAGAGATGCAGCTGCTCTAAGGGGATTGCTAATAATAATTTGTTCTTGAAGCACTTTTGCTCTCTAGTTACTGTATATGTGTTAGCATATTTGTCACCTCAAAATTGTTTATCTTGTTTATGAGAGGTGCAGAATCTGACTCTAGATTTTTTTTTTTTAGTTGGGTCTAATCTCATAAAAATAATTATCCAACAATGTGCTCAGCATCCTTTTTAATAGGAAGATTATTAAGTACTTCACAGGCTCAACCATAGTGTCTAACAGATTAAAATGATAAAGACGTTAATTTCAGTATTAGCTTTTTGTTTATGAAACCATTACATTTCAAACATTTAAGAGCCAGCTGTTTACCCTAACACAAGAGGTTCTACCACAAAGTAAAGATATAATAATCAGATTTGGTTTTTAAGATGTTATTTTAGCAGCAATGGCCATAGTTCAGGTTTAATAAAAGCTTTTATCTGCTTCAAATAATAATTTTAATAGCGCTAGGGAAGTAGTTTGTTTAAAAGCTTTTTAATCCTGCTTTGACTTGAGGTCAAAATTTTAGTTTTCTTTCTGCCAGTTTCCTTTCAACCAGACTGAGAAATCTTCTTTCTGCCAGTTTCCTTTCAACCAGACTGACAAATCAATCCGCTGGCAAACAACCTTCCTAATTTCTGATACTTGTGATTTGAGCTACTAAAGAAAAAACCCAAACTGATGAAGCACAGAATACACAGACCATATTTCATCACTCACTTTAGAGAATAATACATAAACTAAGAAATACACAGCCCTGGCTCATTTCCAAGAATTTTGTTTTTTAATTCTTACTGCAGAGAAACACTTGGAACCTGTGCTCAGACACACCCAGGTAGACTGCAGTCTTGGTGACTTGAGGGGCAAAAATCTGCTAAATGTAGCCCCCTAACTATGTGTGCAGGCATGTAGATTTCAAATGGAATAGCTGAGAGCCTCAGTCTGTTGCTGACCCTGCAAAGATCTGATTTCTGGGTATATTCTGCCCTCTCTCCTGCAGTGCAGGCAGCTGGCAGCCTCACCCAGGCACACAGACCCCCTGCACTCAGTGAGAAGGGAGAGATTTCCTTGCAACTGACCATTTCAGGTGCTCAGAAGTACCAGTGTTTTGACTGTGCTGGATGAAGCTAAGCAAGAGAACACTCACTGAAGTCCAGTGAGGTCACTGCTAGTGAGCAGAGGGGATGGAAGTTTAATTTTTATCTTGTTTTGCAAGAAAAAAGCCACAAGAGCAAACCCTTACCACAATGTCAACGTTCAGTTACGTTTATCTTAATTAGCTTCCCTACCTTAGAAGCCTTCGGAATTTTTGTTCTGTTCTTGTAGTGATCCATATCTCAAGCTGGATAAACAGCAAATACACAGGAGTTAATGCAGAAAGGAGGCATTTTCATATGACTATTAGAAACAAATACTTTAACACATGCAAGATTGAAGATTATACTGGAGAGATCATTATGATCATTCCATTTACCTGCCAGAATAAAACTGGCCACAGACCCACACAGAAGAATTAACTCAATTACACAGTAGTGCCATAGAGTGGAGAATTATCAGCCATTGCAGCTGTATTTCAGAGTTGAAGCTGTTATAGTGCATACATGGACTTTTTTTTCTTTTTTCCCTTTCAATTTAAAGCATCTCTAGTCAGTGTTGTCTTTTGTGGATAACAGTTAAGGTTATTTTGGCAAGATTGTGAACTTCAACTAAAGTTGAAGAAAATCATTAGGTAAGTACTAATCTAATGGAATAAATAGAATTGATTTGGGAGATTTATATATTCTGATCCAAACCAATCAATGCCTTCACATCACAATGTTTAAAATTAACTTGTAGGATCATTACTTGTCAGTAAATTACCCCGTTGAATGACATAGTAAATACACTCCTTTACAGCACATTTCCTTTAAAGAATTGCCCACATGGATTCTGTTATCTGTAGAATTGCAGGCTCTATCTACATAATGAGCTTCTTAAAAAAATTACTGTTATTTGTACCCAAGGAGTCCTGTATTTGCAGGTAAATGTTGCAGGACCCTGATTCTTCTCTCTCTTTGAAGTTGTAAGCCAAGGAGCTGTGATGCCTCTATTTCTTCAGCTACAGAAATACTAATTTATGCAATTGTAACTTGAATGGTATTTATTTTCCAGGCATTTTCCAAATGTTAGTTATAGAGGGAAAAGTTAAAAAAGTTTTCAAGTCATACTTTGTACCACAAACTGCCATAATGCCTGGCTTTTGATAAGACACAATTCTTAGGTGGGCATTCTTGCCACTGAACTTAAAGTCCACCTCCTTTACACACTTCTCATCCTGGATGGTTTTAGCTCAGTCACCAAGAACGATGTCTGGTTAGAAAAACATGGCAACTTACCAAAAAGCAGCTGTTACTCTTCCAAGTAGTTAGTCTCTGTGAGTATCTTCTGTCCATGTGCCTGTAGAACCATTCTGCTCTGAAACTATTCTGAGAAAGAAACAAGTCCTGTTGGCAACCCTGCCATCACTTATATGCTGTGGGCTGTGCTGGTCTCCCAGGACACAGGTGCCTCTCCTGATCAGGCACTGATGCCACACATCTGAAGGGAATGTTGGTTGAGGAGGGATGTTGGGGACTCAGTCAGTGCATCCTAGAGAGCCATGCTTACTACAGCTGTTGTGTTTGGGTTTTTTTAATAATAAAATTTTCACATTTTAAACTGTGCCTTTATGGACTTTCTTTGGGACAGAAAGGTGCTCAGAAGGATGCTCTGGAATTCCATTCATGTTGGCCATTTCTACACACAAATCAGCTGCCTCTTGTCTTAATACTGTTTGGTAGTGAAGCTGTTCTTGCTGACGTGCCCTCAACATTCCTGTGATACAAGGAATTTTTGAGAATTGGTATTTTCTTTCCCACGAACATACTCTGCTTTAGTCTTTCCTCATCAGTTATTTCATTAGTAGCTTATATGATGTTTAAATTAGCTCAGCTCCCACATACATCTCTAGGCAGGTCACAAAGCAAGAATTTTGATTAGAGTAAACATATATGTGTTATCAAAACTTTCTTCACCTGATCATACTGATTTTTCTGCCCAATGTATTCACTGAACCTGTCTGTGTTGATGCTATCTGAAGTCAACCTCATTAGATAAAGTTTACAAGTAACTTTTCTGTTACGCTCCACCTGACAGTGCTTATTGACAAAGACCAGTCCCCCAGATGGAAGCCAGCTGCTCTAGAAGAAGTCAGTGATGAATTTGTGGACAATTGTTTTAAGCCACTAGGAAACAACGATCTCAAGTTGTAAAGATCAAGCCTGTGGACCTGCTTATACACCTGCTTAATTCTGTGATATAAAACATCATATTAGTATGATAAGAGTTTGACAAGACTTTACTAGCCTGAGATTTGCAAGTCTTAATTTTTTTGTGTTCAGAAACACTCTATTTTGTTACACTGCCACAATAACAAAATAATCCTATCTCTGGTTAATACAGGGGAAAAAATTACTTTGGGGCAAATTGTTATTTTTACTGCTTTACACAAGGATTAGCATTTTATTTTTTTGTGTCAGCTCTAACAAAATAATCCTATCTCTGGTTAATACAGAGAAAAAATTTACTTTGGGGCAAATTGTTACTTTTACTGCTTTGCACAAGGCTTAACATTTTATTTTTTGTGTCAGCTGTTAGTGTAGGAGGAGCCAAAGGAAAATGCAAGACATGCTGGTTGAGTAGTCTTAAATAAAAGGTCAGCCTGACACTGCTGGTTGAGTAGTCTTAAATAAAAGGTCAGGCTGACACGTTGTTAGTCTGAGAGCAAGAAATTGTTCTATTGATTTAACATTTGGTCAGTGTTCAGTCTCACTGATGTAGACATTGTTGCAAATGTCATAACACTCCCAGAGCACCAGTGAGCCCAGAGCACACTTCTGTTTGCTTGTAAAACCATGGGGTTTTGTTTTTTTTTAAAATGCCATTAAGTTGAATTGAATTACATAATTAGTTTTTCATTATTTAAAAAATAGCTAGTTGTTCGTCACTGTACAGTACTAAAGAAAAAATACTGTCTCAGACCTTCCTCTGGACACTAGTTGAATTGAATTACATAATTAGTTTTTCATGATTTAAAAAATGGCTAGTTGTTCGTCATTGTACAGTACTAAAGAAAAAAAACTGTCTCAGACCTTCCTCTGGACACCAAACAGCACGTTTCCTGTTGAGGGATTCTCTGGTTGTTGCTGTGGCAGAGGTGTCAGCAGGACTGCAGTGGCTGGAGCCTGTACCAGCTGGTCTGGGTTCCTGTTGGCTTGTACTCGTGAACAGCCTCTCTGCTGGGTGGAGGATTTGTGGGAACTAGGGGGAACACAGCAGTATGTACTCAGTCATAGGTAACAAATAGAGGAGAACATGATGTGGCTGCTGCTCTGTGGATTGTCTGGTTCCTTAAAATATCCTGACAGATGTATTTGTTGGGATCAAAATTTAAATGTACATCATATCCCCATTACTGTATGTGCAGTAAAGGTTGCTGGCTTCCGATACTAATGAGGCTCGAGGTATATGACAGAACCAGAGACCCTGGATGAAACATCATCTTTTTTGGGGGTAGAATTTTTCTATTGTGGCTACAACATGTGGCTACTAATCCTGCTTCACCATTAAGACTGCATGGGTTTTTTTATCATGTAGCAGTATCTCCTCCTACTTGTGTCTACAGTTACAGGCAGGTCACAAACACAAATACTGGCTTTTCTGAAGATGAAGCAAGAAGAATGAGACTAAAGGAAGAAAACTTTTGTTCAAGTAACATCATCAGAAACCAGCACTGGGAAATCAAAAAGGCAGAGCTACAGCAGAACTCTCACAGCGTTTTCAACACTGAGCAGGTCTTCATTACTGACAGGAATGGTCTACACTGGCTCCAGGCTTCTTCCTTCCCAGAAGCTGTTGCCTGGAAACAAAGTCCAGAACATTCAGGCATCAAGGTGAAGTGCTAGAGTGACTTTCAGATACTTGGAGGTGAGCAAAATTGAGAGAAAAATCAAGAAACATGGCTTTGTCACTAGAATCTTTAAGATAAAATGGTTAAAATTTCAACTACCAGTTAAGGTTATCATGTACATCCTTGTTACAAGACAGTTCCTGAGCCTATTTTCAGAAGCAGTTGAGAGATTTCATTAATATCTCTAGGGTAACTTCTGAAAATATTACTTGAATTTCTACCTCCTGCTGGTTCTGTAAGGAATGTAAAGTTCCCCCATAATTCGTTAAAATTGGTGTGAAACTTCAGATTCTTAAAACAATGGCTATTTTTAATTTATGTTTTTTCGATTGGTTCAATTATTTTTGTACAGAAGAAGCCATCTTCAGTGCACAGTAATCCCCAGGGAGTAGGCATTATGCCTTCTCTGACTGAAGTGGATTTAAAACATTTTAGCAAGTTTACTTCTCTATCAATAAACTTTGACCTGTGTTCAGTTGCTTCCAGTATTCACATGAATGGGAATTATCCCAAGCTCATGGTATGAAGCCCTTGTCCAGTCTCTGCATTTTTTGTCACAGAAAGAGTCTTACAAGCAAATGGGAAGTTTAATTTTATTTGGTCCACAAGAAAATATTTTCCACAAAAAATATTGTAAAAATATATTGTTGTGTGTTTTATTTGGGAATACTGATGTGTCTCACTTCAGAAATGTCAGTTTTACAAAGTTGTGCTGAAGTTTGTATGTTTTGAGCCATTGTTAGAATATCAAGTCAGTCACACAGTAGTGCCTACTCAGACTATACTTACGTTTCCTGGAGAAAATAGAAAGCAAATGTATTTTTAACTCCTAAATAGAAGTAAATGGTTTTGCAGAGCATGCCAGTCCCATACTGGAGTGCCTTTATTCCACAAAATCAAGGCAAAGAACTTAGCTGGAAAGCCACTGTAAGGGGCTTTCTAAGACTACAGCACAGTTTAGAGTAAGCTAATGATAAGTAAACACGTATTGTTTTATGCAGGTAAAGAAGTATTTTTATTATGCATTACTATTGTGTCTGTTAAAAACATAGCAGAACTCTGGAATGGGATTGCCTTTGATCTCCCACCATATAGTAGCACTGAACAAGTTTTTTTTTAATTATTTTTTATTAAGGGTAAGTGCATTATTTATTAAGGACAGTGTCTTGTAAAAGAGATTGTTTTCCTGGTGAGAAGCTGTCTCCCTCTGGTTTGCAAGCTCGTTTGCTTTCCCTGAAGTGCCAGTGTCACAGGAGGCATCATAAACCAGCTGGAGTGACACTTCAGGCCACACTGGATCTGCTGTGATCTCCAAGCTTTAGGGAGGGCAGAGGAGCTTTGTGGTGCAGGTCAGTGACAGGCTGGGCTGACCTAGCAGCAGGAGAGCACTGAGTGTCTGGGCAGCCCCCAGACAGGGGCTCACAGCTTCAGTTATAGCCAGTTAACCTCCTCTGGGGGACTGTGGGTGTGCATCAGTGCAAATGCTGTGATTTCACTTCAGGCTGTTTGATCTGACATCCCTGCCTGCTGCTGGACAGTGCAGTGGCAGCCTGCCAACTCAGAAGCTGCTTTCAGAAGTGCCTCTGCTGTGCTGACTCCAGAGGAGTGCAGATGTGAGGCTGCATCCAGAGAGAGGACCCAAGACACTGCAACAGCCAGCACTGCAGAACCTTCTCCCCAGGCCAGCCACTACAGCTTTTGTACAAGGGTCAAGGCAGATATACCTAAATGCACTCTTAAAACAAGCCCAGTTTTCTGCAGCTATCTGCCTACCTGGCAAATGATGACTATGGATTTGGGGCCTTACTTCAGCTATAATAAGAAGAGGAATATTTTTTAATACTGTGGTTAAGCAATATCCAATGAATATGTACTTATCTGATCAGTGTTTTGGTTTTGCTTTTTAATTCACCCTAGTATATGGCATGGAGGTTTTTTAGATGGAGCAAATGCAGGGTATGATTTCATGTCTTACATGCTTTAGAGCTTCAAAGAACATCCCTCTTAGCAGTAGAATTTAAATGGGCCATAATACTGAAGTCCCATTTTACATATGGCTTCAAAGATGACTACGTTACTTCAAAGAAAAAGACTTTACAACAACAGCAGGTTTTTCTCCCTTTTTCTGCAAAAGCCTGAGAACAGTCTTACTAGAAGGGTCTGGACAGTGTGAATTAGTGGTAGTCTTGTGCTGTGTTACAAATAAGTATTTTTCACCTTTAAATTCCTGATGCAACCACCTCCCGACACAGGTGAGTTTCAAATAACTAAGTGTATGTCACAAAGTTTGCAAAACAGCTCAATATTATGTCTGAGAATAAGCTAAAAATAACAATTTGCACAGTCCTCTCTGCTTACCATGGCTTGAAAATCATGCTTTGTATCACTACTAGAACTGTATGTACTTAAAAAAATAGTAACAGGTTTTGCCAGTATGGAAACATTTTTCCTTAGAACAAAAACATAAAATGGAAAGCACTTTGATTTAGGAAGAAAAAACAACCCTACATCTTTTAAACTGGCCATAACAGAAAAAAACAGGTTGCTAGAACCCAAGTTTCTACCAAGGCAAGATGACTATAATTTATTCATCATTTTCTTGACATCTTAAATGCTAGTTAAGAGTAGAGCAGGTCAGGCTACAAGTCCTGGAGAAGCAGGGTGCAGTGTGTGGGTGCAAGCTGGATAAAATGGGTAAAGAATGTAGCCCTTTAGCTTTGGGCCTAAGGCTTATTCGCTAATACAGTGCACTGCTCAGGCTTTAGGTTTCTGTAGCTCCTTTGTGCATCCCCACACACAGCTCTGCCAGCAGGTGAGACTGCAGAGGCTGAAGGAAGGTGTTTGTCCCAAGGGTGTTACTTCAGGGTGACATCTGAGTGTAATGCAGCCATAGTTCCCCTCATTTTAGAGAACAGCCTTCATGCATTTCCAGAAGCCAGAGCACCTGTCAATTACAATGCACTGTTTAACAATATTGTAATGTTTCTCACTGGCTCACTTAAGAATGGCAGTTGAGTAATATAATGAACTATATGGTTCCCTGAATACTACTTGGTTTTATAAAAAGCTTCTTGTTGCCTTAATTATCTTGTGGCTTACAGGTTCAGCCTGCTCAAGATATCAAAGCAAAATTTCTGACAGCAGTTACCTTTGCTACATGTAGACCCTTGGCTTCACTAGCAAAACGTGGACAGATTTACCAGGCATAAATAGTTACTCTCTTGTCACCTACAAACAGACCACTGATTTTTTTATGCAGTGTGCAAAAATCCACCCTTTGTCCTTGAGCATCTCTGGGGCCTCTGTGGCAGTGCTTGCAGAGTTGCTAGGCAGCCACGTTCTTCTTATCCTCTTTTTTTAACACTGATTTCTGATCACATTCAACACATGAAGACAGAATATACTCAACATACGGCTGATAACAAATGACACTTGATTGAGGTTCTACGGCAATCCAATTAGTTTCTCAGCAATACCAATCCAAAGGCAAATTTTTTCAGCCTCTCCTTGCAAACACATCCAACTAGTGGCATTGTGCTCCAATCACGGATGGTGTTACTTCATCTGCACAACCACCAAAGACAGACCGCTGGGCAGAGAGGACACTGGGTGTGAGGACAGTCCTTGGCAGTCAGGGCTCAGGGCACATCACTTTCAATGTAAGGGATGTCACTGTATTTGCTTTCAGTCACTGCCAGCTGTTGCATGGCCTGATCCAGGATCTCCCGGGAGAAGCGGTCGGCATAGTCTTGCACTATGATGCTTGGTGGACCTTTTACATCCACCCCCGTGATCAGGGATGCCTTCTCCCCAGTGCACACTTCTCCAATATCTTCATCCTGGATAGCATTTGAATGTGGAAAGGCATACTTGGATTTGAAGCATCCCATGGTACGTTGGAAAATGCAGCTGCAGAAATTCAGTTCAACAGCATGTTTTGGTAACCTGGAGGTGGTTTCCGCGTTTGGTGCACAGTGTTGCTGCTTCTTGCCAGTGGTCCCAGTTGCTTTCAAAGAACAGAGCCTCTCCTTTTGTGCTTCTTCACTTCTGAAGGAACCTGTCAAAAGAGTGTTTCATATAAATGCAATAAGTAGTTGGCCATTCTCAGGGAGCTTAAGGGAAAGCTACAATCACACAGATGCTTGTAGAAGCAACTTCAGTAAATCTCTGCATGATGCACATGAAATGTATTTATCAGTAACATCCAACAAGCAAAGTTTGACCTGAATTCAAGCAGCCTTTGAATGCAATTCCCAGCACATGATGTAAGCCACCCAGGACCCTAAAGATCTTAGGAAAAAAAATTAACTGTCTCTTCCAGAAGGACAAAGCAGTACTATTTTCCCAAATAGTAAACAAATACCATCTAACTCCAGTGACTGCTGCTGCTAAACGAAAGAAAGAAACCTCCCCCCCCTAGAAGCATCACACAGCCACCACCTCACAACAGCCTTCATGCCCTTTGGGCAGGAGCCCCACAAATTCTTAGTGTCACAGGATCACAAAATGCCAGGTTCTGCTGTTGCCCAACTAGACCCAAGCCTGCAGTCATGAGAAACAAAGAACTGCTTCTTGACTTTTCCCTTGAGAGCTTAGGAAAAGCAACAGTGGGTTGTTGTGTTCTGTGCAGGTCTGGCAGAGCTAGAGCACCATTCTTACTAAAGAAGGACAACTCAAGAGTGAGGAACAAAACACCTCAGGGGGTCCTTTTGTCAAACTCCTCGAGAATCAGAATTGGTCAGCCCCAAATTGTCATATGTGGTTTTTTTTCATTTACCAGCCTACAAAGCTGTCTCTGCAAACAAAGCAGAATATCATGATATGCCTGACTTTGCTTGGCATGAGCTTACCCACTTATCAGAGTTAATAGACTGCCAGCCAAAATAAAGACTGTGCTGCAGAGGAACCAACTGTTCCCTACAGCTTCACCCATGATGCTGTACTAAGGTCAGCCAAAGTTAAAAGATTTTTTTGCAAATAGCCTCTGAAAACATAATCATGGCAAAGGTGTTAAGCCTTATTTACTTGCTTTATATACTGGGGGAAGCAGGGGCTGCAATCAGGTAACCTGATCATAAACAGAGGAATATTTGCAAATATTTACAGAGGAAATCAATCCCATTTGCAAGCAGATGGTGCTTCACAGGTAGGATGGGACTTCCCCAGACCAGCAGCTGACTCATGAGTACTAGGGTCATGGTGATGAGCTTCTCTCCTCCTGCTGCTTGTTCATCAAAACATTGCTACCTGTTCAGAAAACAGTAGGACTGAAATGCCAGTTCTCCAAAGCAGGGGTTGCTGTTCCTGGCAGAAAGTCAGCCCTAAAGGGCTTCTGAAACCACCAAGTACATACAAACATTTTCATACCTGTAGCTTTGTATCACAGCGTTTCAGATGAGTGTTTGTAAATCACTTCAATAAAATGCAGTAAGTCTCTCTGGTGTGCAGGGACACCCTGCAGCACGTGCTGGTGCGTTGTAGAGCAGGGAAGGTAGTTGACAAGCCTGTAACATAAACCTTGCTGCTAACATTTGTAGTTTTACTCCACACAGAGGAGAGCTAAGCTACCAGTGAGATTTTATATAATAATAACTTGCTATCAAATGAGTAAAAGGAAGGATTCCTTTCACTGCAAAAGCAACCACATGTATCCCTATGGTGGTTTATAAAAACCCCATGAGCTTTATACCCATGTCTATTGACTGCACCCATTGATGAAACTTAAAATGCTGACAGAACATGCTTGCAGACCAGAGGCCGAGGAGATGTCTGAAAGCAATTCAGACTGCTGAATAATTAAAAACTTTGTAATAGTCATATCTAATTTCAATATATGCCATTAATAAAATATTCATCAAAATTGTTTTCCACTTGCTCTTTGGAAAGCTCCAGTCTATAGTTACCCGGGTCCTTCTTCTTGCCCTTCTTGTAGGCTGGAGTTACAGTGACTTTCCTCCAGTCCTCAGGCACCACAACTTACCAAAGATGGAGAGTGGCCTAGCAATGACCTCCACCAGCTCCCTCAGCTTCCTCAGTGGAATAGGGTCTCCCCATCAAATGCCATGTTCCCAAGATCCAATAAACCAAAATTCTGCTTGTGGCACCAGTCTCTGAGCCACATGATGAGCAGCTGTGTTTTCCTGTTCCTCTCAGTGTACAAGGTAGTCTTCCCTGCCACTGAAGGGATTGAAGAAAACACTTATCTGTGCTCTCGATCCTTCAACCAATCATCCCAGTGCCTTAAAGTGCTTTTTAATTGCTCTCCCTGCAGCCAGACACTTGCAAAGCTACATTTTTACAGGGAAGTTCCATTTGTGTTCCCACATTCCTCCTAGCGATGGCTTTTAACCATGAGGTCACCATGATATATAGAGATATATATGTATATACACTGCCTGAAATATATAATGTATATAGCAGCCTGAAAGTAACTGACTGGAGCGTTTGAATCATCTCTGACACTTCATGTAAAGACTATTCAGATTTAGATTTTTTATCTAAGTTTGGAGCCATATTCTTTCATGTTATATATATATATTTTGTGCTTTACAGAGAGGTCTGTTAATCAGCAGCCAGCTTTGGTTAGTAGTTCACTATTATTTTAAGATCTTTCCATTCTACAGCTGGAGGTTTCCTCTCCTCTTCTGTTCGGGGACACCAGCAGATGAGTTAGTGCCTAGCAGAAAGCAGGAGGGAAGATGAGCAGAAGGAGGACAAACATCTCCTAAATCAGGTAGAGAGAAATTACCAAAGTCAGCATCTTCCTCTGGAGGACTCCCTGCTGGCTATAGAACTTCTAGATAGCAAGGCATGCAAGACAACTAAATTGTTCCAAATTGATTACTAGTTGAGCTTAAAAGCCAAGTTATCAACCCTTGGTTAAATTCTTGACTCATGTTATTATTTACAGAGCACAGTTCTTTCTAAGTCACTGCAGTTTTACAGCCTCCCACTGTACTTGAGTTAATAATTGTTGGCACATAAACGATGGCAAATGAAGCTGCCCTCAATCTCTGACTGCTTTCCTGTTTTTCTGATAGTCATTGCTTGCACAAACATGGTGAAGTGCTGTTTAAATACCCTCCACCTCACTCATCTCCAGACTGTAAAGTTCAGACTGGGATTTTAACATCTCTAGCTTTCCTTACAACACTTGTACCTTCAGAGGGGGGGAAAAACCCAAAAAACCAAGTAACAACAACAAAAAAGCTCATTTTACTCCCAGGATGATTCATTCAGTAGCAGCACAAGGCAAAATTGTCTGCTAGGAGTCTGTTTTTTTCAGTGTCCGAACTCTAATCTGTAGCCAGTTGTCTCAGAAACTACTGCTTAGATGGTTGGAGGCTCAGGCCAAAACCTCCACAGATCCAGTTCCTGATGTGTCAAGCTGCTGTGCTCAGCTGCAGGCAGAGGTCACGGAGCTGCAATCTGCTCTGTTACACTGCCAGCCAGGAGTCAGAGCAGCACTATCACAAACCTTAACCTAACTTCTCTTTTTAAAGACCAATTTTACAGTTAGTGAAATGTTGATATCATTAATCTGAAAAATACAAGTTCCTAGTTGTGCTCATTTTCAGTGAGACATAGAGTGAGACATAACGACATGGAGTCATTATGCTTTTCAATATCTTGTTTAATTTCAATACTATAAACACAATGTATAATTTTAAGAAGAGTCCTGAAAACAATAAATCCCTGAATTTGGAAGTTCCCAAGGAAAAAAAATCAGGTGTTGTTTCACCTGTTAGGTTATTTACTACACATGTGCCTTCTGAAACTGCAAGGAGAGAGAAAATATTGAGGGAGTCGCTGAGCTGAACTCACCTGGCATGAGAGGGCTAAGCAGTCTCTTGGCCAGCCTGGCTGAGTGTTTCCTGCCAAGGCACATTCATTTCTAACCACTGCAGGAAACAAACAATGAACTTAGGATGTCAGGAAATGTTTGGCCAGGCTGGCCAAGAGACTGCTTAGCTCTCTCATGCCTGCCTCTCTGGAGTGAATCTTACTGTGATTAAGACGGGCGTAAGAGCAACAGTTTTGCTGTTACACAACATTTCTAGCTATCACAGGCAAGTTCCTGCTACCATTTAAACAGTCTCCATCCATAAGACCTTTGCAAAAATTGCCTTGGAGTTCAAAGCTGTATTGCGAGGAGTCACTTTTATAACACTTTCCCCATTACAGCAGTCCCCTGATTAAAAACAAGCCTTTTTTTTTTTTTTTCTTTTAAAACAGTTTACTACAGCTGTGCCCAGCTGAACACTGAAATTTCTGCTGTGACAGAAGCAGGCTTCTCACTTTCCAAACTCTTAGGTTCAAATAAGCCCTCCTCCAGCCATGGGGGCTTTTAGGCATTATTTTTTTCCCTCAGTATCCACAAGAGAAGCTCAGTGTACTACTTAGCAAAAACGTGTCTGCTTTTAACAAGTTGTCTCACTTGTCTGCAGGACAGCACAGACAACTGCACACCTGGGACTCTGCAAAGGGAACCAATAAATGAAACTCAGCACTCACCAAGATGTCAAAGTTGCACATTATCACAGTGAGATGAAATCTGTAGTGCTGGCCTTGCAAAAGTCTGCTTGCCTGAATTTGACCTTGACAAAGGTAAAAGGATGATACAGCACTTGAGAATTCAGATTGAATGGCAGGCTTCAACAATTTATACACTGCACCTAATTCTGGGTCTACTGTGGGGCCACCACTTGGGCAAGTGGCTCCTGTACTATGTGCAGGATGCCAACCTCCTTCCACAGCACAGCCCAGTTAAGGACAATTTCAGCAAGGACACAGGAAGGGTAACACACCAGCACCTGGAGCGCCTCATCATTTGGCTAAGCTTACAAGTTCTTTCCTGTTTTTCCTTCTCCCTTTCAGAGCTTCTGCTGAG